ATATATATCATGATACGTGCATATCCGTAATACCTGATGTAAAAGAAGCATCCGTCGGTTGATTCGCTCTCGTCGAATCTTATTATTTTCTTCGCCCTTCCTCCTCTTCAGTCCGGTCTCCGCCCGTTTTCGATTACCGATCGTCAAGTGCAGGTTTTCCCTTTCGTCGCGACCATGCACGGGCCCTGTCGATTATTCACCCACCCACACGTACACACACCGTAATATGCATCCACGTAACACCTGGCGCTCGCGGAAATGAGCTTTGATTGCTCCCCTCTGATGGGAAAAACTCGGCTGTTGTTGGGTCGCGCCATCAGTTGAATCGTACCGCTGTTGGGCGTACCTATACCTACCTATACCTACCTTGTTTTTTTTCTTCCCCTTCCCCCCTTTCCTCATTTTTATCGGAAAAGCACCTACATACCCGTATACCATTTCCCGTGTATTGGCGCTCGCCCGCGTTTGTCGTTATTGTCGAGTACACAGAGGTAGGAAATTTGGCGGAAAGAGCCAGGCACTGATGAAGATTGACGGCGTAATTATGCCCGTGTGGGAGTCTTGCTGTACGTTCATACGTGCCTCTGCGTGTGGGAGAGATTCCTATGGACCAACATCGGACTGGAGCGCGCTGTCCTATTGTATATATGCATGTGTACTTACATCGTACGTTGCTCGCGTCACTTGTCCGACCTGGCTCGTTCTACTTAACATTGTTATACTCCGGACACGTGCATGGGCGTTATGTTTAACGGTCGAGTGGCTTTCGTTTGACTAATTAAGATGCTTCCTTTCCCGCCAATCGTTTGTATAGTGCAACCTAGTATAGATACCGGTCGTGTTAGGTCATACCGATTTCGTATGTATATATATATGCACGGTGCGTGCGTTACATATATTTCAAGTATAGTTTTGCCGATGATACATCGTGTAGTTTCCATTTTGGAAGAAATTCGGCATCGATATAATATTACGGAAAACCACACGGCAAGCGAGGAAAAAAGAACAAGAAAAAAGCGCGTAAACACCCTGTGGCGACTCTTTTACTTATAGTATACAGTGCACAGTGCAGCTTTAACGATTCATCAGTCGCACCTGTACGTATGTATGTGTACCTAACCGCAGAGAGTGTAAGTACATACACATGAGCAAAGCTCGGAGAGTGTCTAATCGGCCTTTCCCGATAAAACGAAGAAAGCCGGATGGCCCGGGGCGAAGGAGTAGCGCGCGCTAAAGCAATTACTACTCCCATGCACGTATATTATGCCTCTCTTTTCTCGAGGTACCATATATATGTATATACGGGCATGTGGGTTCGGTGCGGGGGATCGCTACCGAGATCTCCACCGTCTCCGTGTGTGTGTGATGAATAGTTCGCTTATCGCGAGGAGGAACAAGCGAAAGCTCGAGCTCACGGGGTTCGCTGTTTTTTGGGACCCGCTTGGGGTTTTTTGCTCAATGTACATACATGGGCAACGTCGCCGCATAGCGGGGGAGATCGCGCGATCGGCGCTGCGATGGCAAAAAGTATATATGCATAAGCTATGTATACTCGGGAATTTTGGAATTTTGAGGGTTCTAGTTTGATTGCGCTCGATCTGCGGGTGAAAGCATCGCATGGGTGCAATATATGTATACGGACGTGACGGGTGTCGAGTTGACGAAAATTTCTCGCGAGTCTCGGGTTCTCTTTGGGTCTACTTACATCATACACGCGTGGAAGCGCAACGGCAAAAGACCTTTCAAAGTTAAGTGCGCCAAAATGAATGGTTATTGCCTGTACGTTTATCGATGGCGCGTCTCTTTGCTGGGGTACGCGCGATGATTGCCATGCCGATTATTTTCCAGCCGCCGGCAACTGAGTATCCGTTAATCGATCGCTTTGAATTCGCGAATTCCAGACGATGCTTTGTAATGATCATTTTTTTTTTTTTTTTTTTTTTTTACTGCGCTTGCGTTTATGCATACAGGTACCTGCATTCAAGGGATTTATTTTATGGCGTGTGCACAAACGCGCGTTCATTTCGCAAATGACAAGTACAAACAAGTGCAATTATCCGGGGACCATGGGGTGAAAAATTTTTTTCGTTTCTTCGATTGCATTTGTATGCATAATACGTAACGGGGGACATTCAATGTCGGTTTTCATAGTGGATAATACATAAATGTAATATTACGGAGAGCCTCACAGAGATGCACGAGAGCGATACCGATTTTTCCCCAATGTGTAAGCCATTACTTGAAAGTAAAAGGGACCGGCAGTAGAGTGTTTTGCTCGGATTGCGAAATTCCGGTGAAATAGTGGAGCTCGCGATGGCTACATTCCGAGACGGCTGTGGACCACATCATCGGGAGCCGATCTTTTATTTCCCCCTGCCCCGATAATTTATCGATTTTCACCACCTTCTTACCGGTAACTGCTCCCCGGCGTGCCATATAACCATCGCGATTACGGGCCTTAATTGGGTGAACTTTTCCGCGCAACCGGGCTCCCCCCTCCCACTGGGTTTTGCCTCATTTGAATAGAGACGTACGGAATCCGCGTGTCCGCCTCGCGTGTAGGTGAAAGTACCGATGCGCGCCGTGGAAGCCAGCACATGAGATCGGTTGTGCCGATTTTTCCCAACCGATCGCGCTTCGATCTCTCGTCCGATCGCGGTTCATCCTGTTCGGGGTCTCCTTCCATGTGGCCCGACAAGAAAATGATTTAAGGGGCCGATTTTTGTGCGGTACAAGCGCGAATTTTGCCATTCGATCGAGAGAGGCAAATTATTTACTCCGAGTTGAAATAAAACCTTGTTATTTACGATCCTGCGCGTATCTTTGGCACATCCGAATAGTCACCTCCTCCAGCGCTGTATCGCGATCGGCGTAAATCAATCCATAAATTTCCAAGCCAACGCCGCGGCATCTCGAAAAGTCGTCTTTATTGGGAAAAAAATTACCATTTTACCAAAAATATTTCGGGAAAACTCTCTTTGGCATTCACGCCTAGGCATTGCACTGAACGAAAGTGGCAAAAATGTAACGCGCTGCTAGCGACATTTATTCAACAAAAGGGTCCCTCTGCCCTCCCATCAGATACATAGACATGTATAGTGCGGCGACACTGAATCGTTAGAGCCGATTAAGGCCAACCGAGAGAGAGAGAGAGAGACCGCTGTTATTCTTATCGATTTTATCTTTCTCCCCGCCTTTTCTGGCACATGCACACGCGAGAGGTACGATGAATAATGGAACGAAACACGCGCAAACAAAAATAGGCTACGGGTAAAAATGCGCACTCGGTCCAGCGGCACGGAGCAAAACAAAAACGCAGCCCCGGCTATTCGATTTCTGTACGATTTCTGTATGCAATTAATGCACGCGAATAAACACACGCGTATACCCGAGTTGTTTGTGATTCAAAGCAAAGTGCGCTCACGCGCATTCTGTCGCGCTGCCGTTGAATAATAGATATTCAATCGGTTTCGCGTTCAAACCGGACGTGCTCTCTCTCTCTATCGATTTTTTTTTCCCCCGCAGATTTATCGCCGTAGCTCCGAGTTGTTGCGATTCGAATAGCCGTATAGGCTTAATTGGGCGCTTCTTTATGCACGAGCTGCGAGAAATCGGAAACTACCGGACGACGCGCGAAAAGAAAATCACCTCTGCCAATCGGGGCTTGACTCTCTTCGGACCTGTATGTGTCTGTGTGTTTTTCCACGCGCACGCGGCGATCGGTCGATTAGTCACGCGCTGATATACATATACGTATGTGTTTCGCGAGGCCGATCGCTCGCTTGCACCCGCAACGTCGTGTGTTCACGTCCGATTTCTCGCTACCGTTGGTTTTCGCTGTTATATACACACCGATTATTATTGAATCGTAGCTCATTGAGCGCGTGCCGATTTTTCGATTTTCTTTTTCGCTGCGCTACTCGATTACTCGATTACTCGACCATGGGAAAACGATTTATAGGTGTATACATACACGTGTATATTATATCCAAAATGCGCGTGCAAGCCGTGAAATGATAGATGCCGGAGTGACGTGTGCAGATACCGCGAAATGGACGACATTTCGAGAGAACGGAAATTTGAAAAATATGATTTTCGCAAAGATTCGATGTTTGGCACTAGCCAACTTTTCAAAACAGTTGAAAAGTTTGATCCCCCGTATATTCGTAAATAATGGACATGTGTGTGTGTGTATAATTATATATCTGTATGTACGTATCGAGCTCACGCGTTCGTGCATTAAATCGAAAGTGAAAATGAGTTCCGATCGGGCGATGCGGTGCATCGGATTTACGTGCGAGCGTACATTTGTATCAACCCGCGTGTGTGTGGGATATGTACTTTCTCGTGCTCACGTATATATAGATATTCTTGTCAAGTTTTCCGACCACACATATATGTACAAAGTGGAAAATCTGTAGCCCCTCGTGGTATACCCGTACACAATGTACCTACCATGGTACCTGCACGTAATTGTGATTTTTCCTCGTATACATAAGCACATACATATGAGAATATCTCCGAGTATAAGAACCAAGTTGCCAAGCCTTTCTTTCTGACTTGTGAAAATTACACGTTATTACGTACTTACTTTATACTCGCTTGAAAGAATTATATACATAGATATTACGGGTATACGTGTGCGTGTGTGTATTGCTACCGTTGCACGCCGATGCTATACATAAAGGTTTTACATACAATGTAGGTAATACTCGAGGGAATGTATGTATATATTGTACACGAGGCTCTGCCGCACACTGACTAGGTATATGAAATAATTATAGCCCCAGAGAGAGAGAGAGAGAGAGAGAGAGAGAGAGAGAGAGAGAGATGAGGAAACCGTCACTGTCGGTGATTTGATTTCTCGCGCTTTAGCATGTACATGAGTACGTTGCAGGCAGTTCTTCGCCGATGATAAAAGAGACAGTTCGGGGTATGAAAAAAAATAAAAAATAAAATAAAAATAATCGTAGTAATAAAATCAAGTGCGTACGTGGACAATCATGGTAATTAAATTCCTCGGTAATTGCCGGGGTTGCTGCTGCTACTGAAATTACGCGGTTGTTAAAAGCGCGCGCTCCGAGATGTATAGCTACAGATCTCTATATTATATGTTTTACGTTGGGGGGGGGGGGG